ATTATATTATTATTATTATATTACAATAATAAAATAATAATAATAATAATATTATTATATTATTATTATTATTATTGTCATTATAATTATTGTTGTTGTTGTTGTTGTTGTTATTATTAATATTATTAATTTTACTATATATTATCCACTCTAATATACTAAGAGCGGTAAGTCTACATACAAGTTTCACTCCGACAAGTAGCGCCACGCACCGTGGTGGCCACCTTGGGAAGCTGTTAATGTGTTGCTGAATTAGCTATAAAGTCTATCGACTACACGATGGTCATTCATGTAAGGTGTTTCCACTTGGTAGTAATCTGGAATACTTTAATCCCTAAAATTGTGTTTAAAATAAACAGTTTATATACACTTAGATATAAACTACTCAGTGTAAATACACTGGGATACACTCATTTTGGTGTATATGATCAACGTTCACAATTCAGCGTTCTTAATCTTTACTCGGACACTTAATTTATATGTGGTTAAATATACGTATTTTCAAATGCACATTTTTACACGTTTGTGTAACATAATCCAACTTAATCTGATATAACCTAACTTAAACAAAATCGTATTTATATGTCGACAGGAAACGTTCAGAAATCGACGCTGGAACTTGTGTAGGAAAATGAACGATATAAAATGTGGATAAGTTGTACCACCTTGTCTTGAAATATCTGCGTACCGATTATTATTATTATATTATTATTATTAATATTATTATTATTATTATTATTATTATATTATTATTATTATTATTATTATTATTATTATTATTATTATTATTATTATTATTATTTTTATTGTTATTATATATTATTATTATCATCATTATTATTTTATTATTATTATCATTATTATCATTATTATTATTATTATTATTGTATTTATGCGGAAGCGCTAAACACATATGGCTAATGCAGCTTCTGGGGAATGGGTAGTAATCACGTTTGATACGGCGAAGGAAACTTTAGCTCAAAATCTTTGAATCAAGAGCCCTTCATCATCAAAGCACCCTCCACCAAACATCCATTGAAGGAACTGTCATATAGAATAATTATTTCCCCCATGCCATCTCCCCTTCCCCTTTCCCCTTCCCCTCTCCCTTTCCCCAGTCATCTCCTGTACAGTAAAAGAGACGAAAATAGAAACATCCCCCATTTTTCCCGACGGTAATTGCAAGGACACGGAGGAGAGATCCTTCGCCAGCCATCAATATGAAGGAGTCCAATACACATCTTTCCCCTCCCAACCCCGGAAAATTTCCCCCCCCCGGGGTCAGGGGGGGGGTCACTTAACCTTAAACCCTAACAAAAAAGAAAATACACTGGTTTGAGGGGGACTGGTCCCGTTAAACCCGACTTTTTCATGAGAGGAGCGAATTTTTGGGAGGGGTTAATAGCAAGCAGAAGTGGCAACGGAAAAAAGTTAAACCTTTGCTCGATTTAGGGTACACCCGGGTTTGGCGCTGCAAAACAAGTTTTTGGTTTTTTTTAAATAAATTTAAAATTTTTCAAAAAATAAATTGGACAGTGAGTGAATTATTGCAGAACATACACACACGGACGTGTTATATATATATATATTTTATATATATATATTATATATATATTATATATATATATATATATTTATATATATATTTTATATATATATATTTATATAATAAAATATAAACATGTTTTATATATATATATATATATATATATATATTTTATATATAATATATTTTTCTTTATTTATTTTTTATTTATTTTTAAAATATTTATTTATCTTTGCAAATATGAAAAAAACTGGTAAATTTGCAAAAACTCATTTAAAATTTTAAGCCCTTTTCTGAAATTTTTCTTTTCCCGGTTTAAAGATATATTTTTTTCTTTAAATTGTTAATTTTAAAAATTTTGAATTTTGCACGGAAAGAATTTGGAAAATTCCCAAAAACCTTTTTTAAAAACAAGAGCAATTTATTTTAGCAACCCAAAAATAAAAAATTTTTTTTAAAAAGTTTACAATAATTTTGTACTAAATAAACAAAAATCAAATGTATTTATTTCGTTAAAGGTTTTAGAAAGATTTTTGGGGGGGAAAAAATTTTTTGCATACCCAAATTTTAAATTGTCCTTTATGGGGAGATGAGCGTTTTTCTATTTAAACCCAAAAATCGGGAAGTTCTGCCCTTTTGGCCGACATAATAAATATGTATTTATTTTTGTGCCCCGAACAGGGGGGTATTTAATAAATAAAAAACACTGAGATTACCCGGGGGTCGAACCCCGGGTTTTTTTAGGCCCGCCCCATTGTGAGCGGGGAATTCCCCGAAGCTCCTAACCCACTGGACCATACCGGAGTCGTGAAATTTTTGTCCACCCTGAGGCGGGCTAAAATCCATGGGTACGATATTATATATATATATATATTTTTATTTATATATATTATATATATTTATATTATATATATATTTATATATATATTTATATTGGGCGTGCCGAATATTTTAAAATGGTCAGTTAGCAAGAAACCCCATTTAAAAATTTAAATTCCTTTCTTTAAAAAATTTTTTCTTTTTTTCGTTTTTTAAAGGGTATATTTTTTTTTATTTAAGTTTTAAAGTAATTTTTTTTAATTTTTTAAACCCAAAAAAATCTTAGAAAACCCTTTCCTAACCTTTTTTATAACAAGGGGCATTTTTTTTTAGCCTAACCCAAAATAAAAAAAAAATTTTAGTTTTTTTTACAATAATTTTTAAAACTAAACAAAACCCCCTGAAATATATTTTTTTCATTAGGTTCGAAATTTATTTTGGCGAAATTAATTTCTACACAAAAATTTTTATTGTCCTTTTTAGCAAGAGAGCGGTTTTTTTAAGCCCAAAGATCGCAAGTTCTGTCTTTCGGCACGACATATTTTATATATATATTTTATATAATATATATATATATTTATATTTTATATATAATATTTTTAATATATTTTATATGCTATATTTTACCCGTTGTTATTACTCTTTAGCAATCACATGAAATTTTAAACACAGATATGATAAGTTAATCCAAGTATTAAATCACAGATAAGGGAGTGGGTTACAGGTAATTGGAAATAAAAAAAACAAAAAAGGTGATGGCAAATTTGGAAAACTCCAGAGTTTAAAACAAGTAAGTTAAGTGGATGTTTTAAAATTTCAAGTGCTAGAATTAGCAAACAATATGGGGTTAAGTGCAAAAAAATGTCAGCTTTGTACTATTAATAAGAGGTGGTTTTAAAAAGAAACTGTTGCGAGTTGCTCTGGTGGATAAGTTTTTCAGTGGGGGAAAATTTGCCCGAAAGGGGGTTTTTAACGGGGTGTGGTGTTGGGGTTTTCGGACTGGAAGGTGTGGGGGTTTTTTGGGGTGGGGGCTGAGGGTTTTTAACAGAGGGTAATCAATAGTTGAGGTTGCAGGGGTCCCAAATTCCCCGCTCCCGGCCCCCCCCCTTCCCTGGGCGCCCCTAGGTACTCTCCCTGGGAAACCCTGGCTTTATCGTACCTCTGCTTTAAAACTATGTTTGGAATTTTGCCTCCCCTTTCCCTCGCTTCCCCAAAAATTTTTCCACTTCCTTGGGCTCTCTGTGACTGAAGAAATACCCTTTCCCAAAAATCCCTTTGATTCATCTGTGTCTTCGCCCTTTAAAAATGTGTCCCCGTGTTGCTGTTTTCCAGTCTCTGGAAACAAACCTGTCTTTGGCCCCTTGTCAAATTCCCCTCAATTTTTAAAGTCGTTATCATGTCCCCCCCCATCCCCTCCTGTCCTAGTGTCGTTTAGGTTGGTTTCCCTTAACCTCTCCTATAGGAATTTCCTCTTAAAATCTGGGAATAGGGTTTTTTGCAAAAAAAAAAAAAACCCTTTTCACTTTCTCTAGTTTCTTTACATGCTTGGCTTGGGGTTTGGGGTTTCCCAAACTGGTTTCCGCCCTTCTCCAATTTGGGCCTAACGTACACGGTTTACGGGTCCGAAAAGAATTTCCTTTTTTAAAATGTCGGAATGCTGTTTTTGAGGTTTTTCCAGGGCCCCTATTTTACAGCAGTTATTTGGTTGATGTGCGCTTCAGGGGGATGGCCCGGTGTTATAATCCCCCCCCAAGATCTTTTTCTTTAGTGAAAGTTTGTAGTCTTGGCCCCCCCCGACTGTACTCCGTCTGCCGGGTTTTTCTTTGCCCTTCCCCAAAACCTAAGGGCCCTTTTCCTGGTGGGATTGAACTCCCGGAGCCAGTTGCTGGACCCGGTTTTGCAGCCCGTTTCCGATCCCTTTGGGATTTTGCCTGGTCCCTTTGACGAATGAACTCTTCTCTTTAACTTCAAGTCCCTCTGCAAAAAGGGGCACCTCGGAAATTTTATTCCTTCCGTCATGTCGTTCACAAATACCAGAAACAGCACTGGTCCTAGGATTGACCCCTGTGGGACCGTGTCACAGTGCCCACTTGACACCTCGCCACTACCATGACCGCGCTGTCTTCCTGAAAGTATTCCTGATCCATGCAGTGCCTTCCTTTACCCCCGCTTGGTCCTCCAGTTTTGCACTAGGTGTAGTGTGTGAGTGTGTGTGTGTTGTGTATGTGTGTGTGTGTGTAAATATATAATTATCGATTTGTAATTGCCTATTACCATTTGGGAAGAAAAAGGGGGCACAAGTTCTTCGTTTTGCCTCTCAGTTTTCGACCGACTGAGGTGAATTAGCTTTGTCATATTCCTTGTTGAACCCAATTATGGAGACTCTTCCACTGTCTCACTGTTGAGTCCATGCCACTGTTTTGACCACTTTTGTGTCGAGGATCTTTTTTTTTAATTTTCCTGTGCCTCATTTGGGCTTGCAATGTTCAACTATTTTCCCCTTGTCACTCTTGCATCTCTGGTGGTGATCCTATGGTTAGGCTACGATAGCCTGTTATGGTCAGGCTACGATACCCTGTTATGGTCAGGCTACGATACCCTGTTATGGTTTAGCTACGATACTCTGTTTGGTCAGGCTCGATACCCCGTTATGGTAGGCTACGATACCCTGTTATAGTCAGGCTACGATACCCTGTTATGGTCAGGCTTCGAAACCCTGTTATGGTCAGGCTACGATACCCTGTTATGGTCAGGCTACGATACCCTGTTATGGTCAGGCTACGATACCCTGTTATGGTCAGGCTACGATACCCTGTTATGGTCAGGCTACGATACCCTGTTATGTCAGGCTACGATACCCTGTTATGGTCAGGGAACGATGCTGTACCCTGTCTATGTCAAGTTATTTGTGTAACACATACAATGTACGTTCTATGCAGCTGAAGAGGGCAATCAAAGACTTTATCAGCTGATGGCTCCTGGTGAGCGAAACGATTTCTCAGTAAAATGCCATAAACTGCAAACTGACTGTTACTCACAAAACTGTAAATATATATTCTACCACCGTATTATTATTATTATTATTATTATTATTATTATTATTGTATACATGACCATTAGTACTTTGTGTCTTCACGGATAAATCTTCATTGCCCTTCCTTCTTTCAGCGAAGGATGGCATAGCTATTTTGTTCTCTATAACTTCCTCGAGCCTCTCATCCTCTCATTGTATATATAATATATATATATATAAAATATATATATATATATATATATATATATATATATATATAATAATATAATAAATATAAGATATATATTTTTATCAATAATGTATCTTCTTAAATCTTCTGTACCATATTATGTAATAAAATATCCTATTAGTAAAAAAAAATAAATATGAAAATAGGGGTGGTTAGGGAAGTGGAATATTCAAACGGTTCAGGAAGAAATCCAATATTTTTCCTTGAAGCTTTTTATCCACTTCTCCGAGGCTATGGGTCCCACAATTTTCCCAGAGGTGGACCCCATCCTATAAAATATTTATATATATTATTTATATATATATATAACATATATATTATAATATATAATATTATATATATATAATTATATATGTTATATATATTATATATATTATATATATATATATTTTGTATATATATACATACTATATATATATATATATATAAATATATGAATATAAAAAATATATATATATAATACTATATATATATAATACAAGTCAAATATGACAAGTTTAAACGGAAGTAATAAATTCAATAACCCAGTTTCGAAGGCTGTTTAGGCAATTATATAGTTTGACCATTTCTCTGTCTCTCTCGTCTCTCTCTATCCTTTTATTTGATTATTTATTTATCTTCTCTTAAACTTTAAAGTTGTAAGGCCTCACACTGAGTTCTTACAGATGTATACATTGACCGTATTCTATAAACATTAACTCATTCAAAGGCATTCAACGAGCAAAATCTAAGTTAACATAAAATTTTCATTCATCTCTTCATTTATTATCAGTAAAACCCTCACACAGTGACAAAATTCTAAAGGCTGGAGTCAGCTGTGTCTGAATTTTTCTGGTTACTTGAATTGATTCTTAATGGTCACATGTCGTAAGAACCTGAACATTCATTCTCTAGGAGTGAGTGATTCTAGATGAAGGATCTCCTTGCGAAGAGTACACGCAAAGTGACACTGCTGATGACTGCCCGTCATGTGGTATAATAGCTGCCTTCTATTTAACAATTAAGTTCAGCCACTTAAGGGAAATTTATAACATTTTCTGTGTACAAAACAGTGTAGAATACCATCTTACTACTTGCCGACGATGGGTCTCCCTGACGCCTTTTTTCTGGAAGGGGCGCCACTATCCTCACTGAGTGTTTGCCTGACTAAGAACCCGGTATCTTTCGAAGTATAAATATTGGTGATATTTGCCGTTTCGTCTAATATTCCCGACCGATGACATGGAACGTTTTATGGGCGTAGATTGCGGACTATATACAAAAGAAAAACAGAATTTGAAAAATACTACTTGCGTTGTGATTGTGACTCATGTAATATGAGAGTTAAGTGGCTACTGTAATATTAACCTGGTACTCACAGTGTAAATTTGTTATATAATGTTAGAAATGCAACGTGTTTAAAGCGCTGGATAACTCTTAACGTTCTATATTTGTAAATGCAATGGACAAACAAGAACTGAATCATTCTGGTGTTGAAGGTTTTGTTGAAATGACAAATCTAGCCAGACTTGGTCGATGCAAGAGGTGAGTTATCTTTGTGACGCTCTATTTCGTGCACAGGTCAGAAGCGGGACAGGGGCATATGGTCCAAAAATACAAAATACTAAGGGTGAGAACGACCTTGCACCTCACATTCAATTTTGCTCTGGAGCTTCAAGTTTCTTGCCTGCCTTTCTTACAAGATTTACCACTTGTTTCTTCATCGTCACTACAGAGGCACATTTCACCCCCGTACATCGGCTAACTCTAAGACTTTCATTCATTCTTACACCAGCCCCTGTTGCAACATCGAAATCATTAGAGGCTATCAGTCACGCTTTCTCAGATGCAAATATCATCTGCCATTGCTCTTTTACCAATGATGACATAGCTGTCAGCCAGTGACCGTCCTGGCTGAGAGCAGTTACCTGGAGGTTACCTGGAGGTTATTCCGGGGATCAACGCCCCCGCGGCCCGGTCCATGACCAAGCCTCCCGATGGATCAGGGCCTGATCAACTAGGCTGTTACTGCTGGCCGCACGCAGTCCAACGTACGAGCCACAGCCCGGCTGATCCGGCACTGACTTTAGGTATCTGTCCAGCTCTCTCTTGAAGGCAGCCAGGGGTTTATTGGCAATTCCCCTAATGCTTGATGGGAGGCTGTTGAACAGTTTTGGGACCCGGACACTTATGGTGTTTTCCCTTAGTGTACCAATGGCGCCCCTACTTTTTATTGGGGGCATTTTGCATCGCCTGCCCAGTCTTTTACTTTCGTAGGGAGTGATTTCTGTGTGCAGATTTGGAACCATTCCTTCCAAGATTTTCCAAGTGTAGATTATGATATATCTCTCCCTCCTGCGTTCCAACGAGTACAAGTCAAGTGCTTCCAAGCGTTCCCAGTAGTTAAGGTGCTTGACAGAACTTATACGTGCAGTAAAGGATCTCTGTACACTCTCTAGATCTGCGATTTCACCTGCTTTGAATGGAGATGTTAATGTACAGCAGTATTCCAGCCTAGAGAGAACAAGTGATTTGAAAAGTATCATCATGGGCTTGGCATCTCTCGTTTTGAAAGTTCTCATTATCCATCCTATCATTTTCTTTGCACGTGCGATCGTGTCACTGTTGTGATCCTTGAATGTGAGATCCTCAGACATTACTACTCCCAGGTCCCTTACATTATTTTTCCGCTCTATTGTATGGCCGGAGTCAGTAGTATACTCTGTTCTAGTTATTATCTCCTCCAGTTTTCCATAACGGAGTAGTTGGAATTTGTCCTCATTGAACATCATATTGTTTACCGTTGCCCACTGGAAAACTTTGTTTATATCTTCTTGGAGGTTAACCGCGTCCTCAGCAGATGACAGCCTCATGCAGATCCTAGTATCATCCGCAAAGGATGATACGGTGCTGTGGTGTATATCTCTGTTTATGTCTGATATGAGGATAAGGAATAAGATGGGGGCGAGTACTGTGCCTTGTGGAACAGAGCTCTTCACTATGGCAGCCTCCGATTTAACTCTGTTGACCACTACATTTTGTGTTCGATTTGTTAGGAAGTTGAAGATCCATCTCCCCACTTTCCCAGTTATTCCTTTTGCACGTATTTTATGGGCTATTACGCCATGATCGCATTTGTCAAATGCTTTTGCAAAGTCTGTGTATATTACATCTGCATTCTGATTTTCTTCCAGTGCATCCAAGCCATGTCATAGTGATCCAGTAGTTGTGAGAGGCAGGAGCGACCTGCCCTGAACCCATGTTGCCCTGGATTGTGCAGATTTGGGAATCCAGGTGATTTGCAATCCTGCTTCTTAGCACTCTTTCAAAGATTTTTATGATGTGGGGACGTCAGAGCTATTGGTCTATAGTTCTTAGCTAATGCTTTGCTGCCACCTTTATGGAGTGGGGCTATATCCGTTGTTTTAAGTGACTGTGGAATTTCACCCATGTCCAAGCTCCTCCTCCATAGTGTACTTAGGGCACGCGAGAGGGGTTTCTTGCAGTTCTTAATGAAAACAGAGTTCCACGAGTCTGGGCCCGGGCTGAGTGCATAGGCATGTTGTCAATGGCTTTTTCGAAATCTATCGGAGTTAGGGTAATGTCGGAAATCTGGCATACATTTATGGAGTTTTGAGGCTCATTCATGAAGAAATCATTTGGGTCGTCGATCCTCAGACCGATTAGTGGTTCACTAAACACAGAGTCGTACTGGGATTTCAATATTTCACTCATTTCCTTGTTGTCATCTGTGTAAGTCCCATCCTGTCTGAGTAAGGGCCCGATACTAGATGTGGTATTTGCCTTGTTTTTGGCATATGAAAAGAAATATTTTGAATTTCTTTCAATTTCACTAATAGCTTTAAGCTCCTCCTGCCTCTCCTGGTTCCTGTAAGAGTCATTTTGCTTAAGTTCGATAGTTTCCACTTCCCTGGTCAGCGCCTCATTTCGTGTATCAGATATTCTAGCACTCCTGAGGAGCTCGGTGACTCTTCGTCGTCTTCTGTAGAGGGAGCGTCTTTTTCTCTCCAGTTTACTCCTGCTCTTCTTCTTTCTTAGGGGAATATGCCTAGAACATGCTTCGGCTACCAGGAAGTTGATCCTTTCAAGGCACTGGTTTGGATCTATGTCATTTAAGACATCTTCCCAACATGTTTCGTTTAGGACATGGTTTACCTGGTCCCAGTTGATGTTCTTGTTGTTGAAGTTGTATTTTGTGAAGACACCTTCACAGGTACATGCATTCTGCTGATCAGGACCCCTATGCATGTACGTCTGGACTTCGATTAGATTGTGATCGGAATTAGTTATTTTTGATATTCTTATGTCTCTTATCAGGCCCTCATTATTTGTGTTTTCTAGTCTTGTTGGCTCCACTATCTGCTGGCTTAAGGTGTGTTTTTCGCAGAGACTTAGTAGCTCATGTGTGTGTGACCTTTCATCTGCACTACCTCCGGGGATTGTTTCAGCTATAACATTATTTGCTACATTCTTCCATTTTGTATGCCTTAGGTTGAAATCACCAAGCAGTAAGATGTTTGGGGATGGAGCTGGAAGGTTTTCCAAACAGTAATCAATTTTCAGTAGCTGTTCCTTGAACTGTTGTGAGGTTGCATCTGGTGGCTTGTATACAACCACAATGACTAGGTTTTGGTTCTCGATCTTTATTGATAGAACTTCAACTACCTCATTTGTGGTGTTCAGCAACTCCGTGCAGATAAGGGACTCTTTGACATACAGGCCAACCCCCCCTTGTTTCCTGTTTTTTCTGTCGCATCTAAAAAGGTTGTAACCACTTATCACCTCTTTTACACAGCTCGCCATTGCTTGAATGTAAACATCAACAAAGAAGCAGATTCTGGGGAGAAGATAAAGTTGAAGCCACTGGAGAAGACATTTCACAGCAGTGGACAAAACACAGCCTCTTGCGGGATGCTGTGTTACACTACTGTGTTGCACTACCCAGAGATAAGCTCTTAGGAGGCGGATATAATCCTGTTTGAACAGGAAATTCATTTGTCCATATTAAATGCAATAATATCATCACCATGTTAGATATAACACAAATATAATAATAATAATAATAATAATAATAATAATAATAATAATAATAATAATAATAATAATAATAATAATAATAATAATAATAATAATAATGATAATAATAATAATAACCATCTTTGCTACTTGTTACAATATATAATAATGATGCTACGCCTATTTCTGTTTCAGCTTCTAGTGCTGTTGCTATTATTAAAACAGCTGATTTTCCTGTTGATGATACTATGAAACTGCTGATTTTGCTGTTGCTGCTGCTGTTAATACTTCTGTGGTTTCTAGTGCTTTTGTTAACTGTGTTTATTACTACTGTAATTGCTGCTATTACTGTTGTTATAACTAGTAATGTTTTTACTCGTATTTCTGTTTATGCTACTATCGAAACTAATTACTGCTATTACTATCACTGCTACTGCTGTTAATGCCTCCAGTTGCTGCTGAAAATGCTGCCACTGCAACTACTACTATTAATTCTGTTGCTGCTCCTTATGTTACTACTACTACTATTGCTACTACTACTACTACTACTGCTACTACTACTACTACTGCTACTACTACTACTGCTACTACTACTTCTACTACTACTACTACTACTGCTACTCCTACTACTGCTACTACTACTACTATTGCTACTTCCACTACTACTACTACTACCACTACTACCACTACTACTACTACTACTACTACTACTACTACTTCCACAACTACTACTACTATTACTGTTACTACTACTTTACCAACTATCACTATTAATAATAATAATTAATAATAGTAATATAAGAGTAAGAACAGAGAAAGATACTGTTATCTCTATCATTACTTATCGGTAAGCTCACAAATAAATCAATAATGTGGCAACTTAGTGCGTTTAGAAGGATGACAAGATCTGCAAAGGGCACAGGTCGACGGTGTCCCCAGCGAGAGGCAGTATATAAGAGGCTGGGTGTGCCTCCATCGTCAGTCCAGCCTGCAGTAGCCACTTGTGGAATTCAGCAGAACTCGGGATCACTTGTAGACACCATGAGGATTTTGGTAGGTGGATGTTCATTGTCTCTCTTTTTTTGGGGGGGAAAGTGGTGATACTGCGTCAGTCAGAATATGGGACAATGTCTGATACGACATGCACAAGGAGCCATTTATCGGGACAACATTTCGCTCATGGTTTTGATGGTGTCCAACTGTGGCCGAAATGTAGTCGCAATAGAAGTTTGAGCTACATATTATGTGTTTATAGACATAACTGTGGGCATTGCGCCTCTACATACAGGGAGGTGTTAGGCACATGATGACCTGGTTGGCAGCCGAACTGGAGTAACGAAGCTAGATTTTTCCCCTCTGTCTGAAAAAAGAATCATTATAAAAGGTTCTAAGATATTGTTCTGGAAGTGGACTGGGTCAGTGAATATGCTTAACAATTTCGACTAATTTTCTATTTTTTTCTTTTTCGTAATGATTACATAGTAAGGAAGTTGCTGCCTAGGTGAAATAACACACACACACACACACACACACACACACACACACACACATACACACACACACACACATACACACACACACACACACACGCGGCGCCAGAAGCTATGACTGGACCTTTGCAACCACAATTATAGTGAGCACACACACACATCGTGGGTACAAATTAATCCCCCATGGGAACTACAGCAGCCATGGAGCCATCGAACCCACGTATGGATGATAATACTGGGAATAAAATTATTTCTGTATTAATTAGGCCTCACACTGAGGCCTGTCCGCTGAAGAAGACCTCAATGTAAGAACAAAATGAATAGCACTCAATTTTCCCTTTTTTTTTTGGCCTCCATGTATGATCCCTTGCGGGTTTAGGGCTTCTCCAAAAATGAGATTGATGTATAATTCGTTTCTACTCATGACACTTGCTATAGTCCATGAGTAAACCTATGACACATGCCATGATTCATGGTTGAGCCTATGACACACACCATGATTCATGGTTAAGTCTCTGACACACACCATGATTCATGGTTAAGTCTCTGACACACACCATGATTCATGGTTAAGCCTCTGACGCACACCATGATTCATGGTTAAGCCTCTGACACACACCATGATTCATGGTTAAGCCTATGACACACACCATGATTCATGGTTAAGCCTATGACACACACCATGATTCATGGTTAAGTCTCTGACACACACCATGGTTCATGGTTAAGCATCTGACGCACACCTTAATTCATGGTTAAGCCTCTGACACACACACCATGATTCATGGTTAAGCCTCTGACACACACCATGATTCATGGTTAAGCCTCTGACACACACCATGATTCACGGTTAAGCCTCTGACACACACCATGATTCACGGTTAAGCCTCTGAACACACGCCATGATTCTTTGGTTAAACCTCGGGACACACACCATGATTCATGGTTAAACCTCTGACACACACCATGATTCATGGTTAAACCTCTGACACACACCATGATTCACGGTTAAGCCTCTGACACACACCATGATTCAGGGTTTTTAAAGCCTTGCCCACACCCCTGATTCATGGTTAAACCTCTGACACACACCATGATTCATGGTTAAACCTCTGACACACACCATGATTCATGGTTAAGCCTCTGACACACACCATGATTCATGGTTAAACCTCTGACACACACCATGATTCATGGTTAAACCTCTGACACACACCATGATTCATGGTTAAACCCTCTGACAAAAACCATGTTCATGGTTCCTTGACACACACCTGATTCATGGTTAGCCTCTCGGACAACACCTGATTCATGGTTAAACTTGACCAACCCAAATGATTCACGGTTAAGCCTCTGCACAACACCATGATTCACGTTAAGCTTAAAATGTTTAGGTGTCGTAATTTTTCAATTTTTAATAATTTTCGATTATTATACCGAGGGGATGGAATAGGGTCTTTTGTGAGAACCTTTCATCTCTTAAACTGACCCCTTGAAGATTCTTATACCAAAGGGAAATTGGAGCTATCTTATCTTGAATCACATTTATTCCCAAACCTATCCTAGGTTTCGGGGTTAACTCCTACGGGTTAAGCGCTTCACCGCGTTTAATTTAATATAATATTTATATATATATAAAATATATATATTTATATATATATATATATATATATTTATTTATATATATAAATTTAAAATATATTATATATATATATATATATTATATTATATATATATATATATTTATATGTATATTTTATATTTTTTATACTGTTATAGATATACTAGGCTGCAGATTATAAATGTTCTGTATGTAAATAATATTATTGATTGTTATATACTCGGCACTATGTAAAAATGACGTTATTCTTGTAAACAGGCAGCTTTCTGTGTGCTGATAGCGGGCGTCAGCGCTCAGCTTGGGCCTTCAGGACTCATCAACCCTGATGGAGTCAACCTACAATTCAGTAAAGAGTTTGCTGATAGCATCTTGCTGATTGGACCATCTGGAGCTGTCACTGGATCTGGTGACAATCTTCAGCTCACCGCCGAACAGGCAGCTCTCCACGCTGGCTCCCCTGCCACTCCCGTACACGCCTTCGTGGCCCAGAAGGGTGTGTTTGGACCTTCAGGCATAGTCAATCCTGACGGCTCTAACGTTCAGTTCACCAAGGAACAGGCAGACAACATCTTACTCATCGGGCCCTCAGGCGTTGTCACCAAGGATGGAAATAACTTGCAGCTCACCGATCAGGGAGTTCCTAGAACGAAGCGCTCTGCACCTCTCGTTGGCGCCTCTGGCATTATCACTCCTGATGGTCAAGCGATCCAACTACCACCTGGTGTGACAGTTGCTTCTGCAGGACACTCTGGCGTTGTTCTCTCCAATGGACAGAACATTCAGTACCGCACCAAGCGCTCTGATTACACTTTGGGTCCCTCTGGACTCATTACTCGTGATGGCCAGGTGGTTCACCTTCCAGATGGTGTAAAAGTTGCTGTGGCAGGACCCACTGGTATTGTTCTCACCAACGGAAAGAACATTCAGTACCGCACCAAGCGCTCTGATTACACTTTGGGTCCCTCTGGACTCATTACTCGTGATGGCCAGGTGGTTCACCTTCCAGATGGTGTAAAAGTTGCTGTGGCAGGACCCACTGGTATTGTTCTCACCAACGGAAAGAACATTCAGTACCGCAGCAAGCGCTCTTCTCCACTTGTTGGTGCCTCTGGCATTATCACTCCTGATGGCCAAGCGATCCAACTACCACCTGGTGTGACAGTTGCTGCTGCAGGACACTCTGGTGTTGTTCTCTCCAATGGACAGAACATTCAGTACCGCACCAAGCGCTCTTCTCCACTTGTT